AAAAAAAAAAAAAAAAAAAGAAGAAGAGAAAAAAAACAAATACATTTGTAAATTTGCAAAAGAAAAATATTAAAATAGAGAAAGGGAGGAAAAAAGAAAAGAAAAAAGAGAGTGAAAATATCATTTTTACAGTGGACATATAATACGTAAGAACAAATGCGAGAAGAGATAGAAACAAATTGATCTTGGGGAAAGAAAATAAAAGAAAAGAAAAGAAATATAATTGAATAATGATTTTTCTCTCTTTTCTCGCATTGTAGTCATGACGCCATAAGAATTATTTCTATGGTTTTGTTTTTTGTTTTACAATTAGTTTTATACATTCAATATGTATCATGAAAATAATGTGGTCGTAAATAAAATCGCTTGTTAGAAAATATTAAAGAAGATTGGGAGGGGGGGGGGGAGGGACATGCCTATAACACAGATTGCAAAAAAAAATTATCGAAAATTGATCAGTGTGTGGTGTGTTTGGTCAGAAAGAATCGGGAATTAAAGAGATTACAACTTTATACACAGATAATTAAGGACTGAAGATAGTTTTTAACATGTAAAAAAAAACAAAAACTAATTAAGGACAGATGAATAGAAACTAAAAAGCGATTTTATACGAAATATTGTTTGTGTAACAGAATATTTAACAAAAATAGTCAATGGTCTACTTAAAGATGTTTCGTTTACAGAAACCGTACAAAGTTAACTTTTACATATTATTCGTAGCATCTGTAAATGAAACACAGATGTATTATGCCAATGCCAGTGATTCTGATAATAGCATGACGATTTCACCGTGAAGAGACCATATTATTACATATATAAGATAAGACAAAATTTTCAAGAAAAAGTTCCAAAGAAAAAACTCTACGCCCTTTGGTCACTTAAAAAATACAAGGAAGAAAAAAAAAAAAAAGAAGAAGAAGAAGAAGAAGTTTCCTTCGCGCTTAAATAAAACATTATATTCGAAATCTATAAACTCTTACCGCATTATTTATACAAATTATACTAAATTAAGAAAAACTAACGTCGTGCATCCATAATCATATATTTCTAAAGTTGAAATGCGATAAAAATAATGTTATAGCTTTGTTGCATAACAAGAAAAAAAAGCTAAGACATTATTTATATGTCCAACTTTAGAAATATAAATTATTATTATTATCATCGTCATATTTTTTCTTATACGACGTTTATATATTTGAATTCGACTATTTACAAGGAAAGATCTTTTTTATTTTCACTTTTTTGTCTTTTTTTGTTATTCGAATTTATATTTTATTCCTTTTTTTTTGTTTTTCTTTTATTTTAAAGCTAAATTATAAAGCTTGGCACGTTTTAAGAGATATAGCAGAAAAAAGACGATTACTTTTATATTAAATCTCTATTAGCTAAAGAAATGTATCGTGTACAAGAATATATATACTTCTCTTTGCATAATATTGCTATTTTTGTTTACCTTCTACTTTAATGCATTTCCTTAGACTTTGAATTGTCTTTTTTATGCGGCCAAGAAATTACCTTAATAGATATATATATATTATATACAAAATAGAATAAAAAAATAAAAATATTAGTCTGAAGAGGGCAGCGATAAAATCTTCACTTAGTCATTATTAAATCAAAATCGTTATATTTAGCGATCAAGTGAAAAAACACTGACACTGGCATAAATCGTATAGATATTTGTTGTGTTCCTAATTGCTCCCATTGACTCATGACAATAATTCTATAAATCCTAAGATTATAGCGCGTCGTCTTTCTCGTACAATCGCTCATCGATTGATTCCAACGGGTAGCTGCTTCATTTTTTTTTTTTTGTTCTGTCTTTCTTTCTTTTTGTTTGTTTTTTTTTGTGTTTTTTTTTTTTTTTTAATAATTTCTTTCTTTCTTTTTTCTTTCTTCGATATTAATATGACAATTGTTTTGCTTTTACATAACGTGGGACAATTACAGTGAACGGTGGATGGTTTTGCGTGAAAAGTGCTTACAGTCTAGATGGCCCAGAAGAACATCTGTGGATCGGTGTGAGGTAGTAACTTTTTATTGGTCAAGTACATTCATATCCATCTTGTGCTTCTGTAGACGCATCGGTAGGCCCTTCCTGTAACATTTTAACGCGAAAAATACATTTAGATTTGATTAATTAAGTATATAAATTTGAAAAATATTGTATTTAAAAAGCGACGTATATTTTTAAAAAAAAAACAAAAGCATATAAAAGAAGCGGAAGAATTGGTAAGGACTTATTAAATTTCAATTATCCGCTTCTTACCTTTGTCCGCAGATAATTTATATTGTAACATCAATATAATCTTTTTCCTAAATAGCTCTGAAATAATCTGACCTACTATTCTCTAGATTTACGTGTAGTTACCTAATCTTGTTTAATGATGTCTATTGTTCATTATATGTACAATGTCTTACGTCCTTAGTAGTTGTTACAGTCTGCTTGTATTCTTCCAAGCTAAAGCCAGAGTTGCTATCATCTCCGCATGACTGAACCACTAACGACCCGTCTTCCGCCTGAACATTTTATTCGAACGTACGGTAATACACAGACATAATATTCTGATAATACCACCTATCTATATATCGCCTATCAAAAAGTTAAAATTTACCTGTGGTACTTGTTGTTCATTCTCGACAACTTTTCGTTTCTTTGCATTAGTTTCAAGACTCTGATCGGATAATCTTTTCCTACTAACGCCTTCTTGATTTCTGGAAGATACACCGCCGTTCTTTCCATTTCCAGCAATATTTCCATTGTGATAAGCATTGCCAACAGATGCCTAAATAAATACATATAACATATTTTTTTTTAATGAATATTTAAATTAAATCTCGACGTATAAAGAAGGAAGCATATTATAAGTAGAGAATATAAATCAAATATACAAACCTTCTTCTCTTTTTTTAATAATGCAGCAGGAAGATATTTACTTAAATCTCTTCTTCTCGCATGTTTAACTTCTATCCACATTCCATCTTTCAACATTTTTATTGCTTCGGCTTGCCTTTCAACTGATATCATAGTAAAGATTGATTAAAGATTCATATAGATCATTTTAATATAGTAATTGGTTATTAGGAACTATGAGATTTTTTACTTACTCGTGTCGACAAATGTCTTTATGTCATGTGTCAAATCAATGTTTAAGTTTTCACTCAATTCAAAGAGTAATCCGATGAACCACATAGAACATTGTCTGTCTGGTTCTGGTTTTAATGGTGAGAAAACTTCTGGATTAATATGCGCCAATTGGATATGAGGATTCCTTTCCAGTATACCTGTTTATAATAATCAGGATTTTATTCAATAATAAACATGTATCAAATTCTATGTTAATTAATGAATTAAAATAATTCGAAAAATTAATGAAAAATGTTGAATTTATAATCTTGATTATATCTATTATTATATATTACCTATAAGATGACGTATTTTAGATTCGACTAGTCCACACCATTCAAGTTGGTCTTCTGGTGTTAAACTTCTGGCCAACAATACGATATAATGTTTATATGTCGTAAAAAATTGTGATGGTTCAAATAATTTGTCCCACGTAGCTTTTCCAGTAATTATTTCTTCGGTTGTTCTTAAACCAGCGTCAAAAGCCTGCTGCATGATTTTTCGAGTCGATGCAGAAACATTAAATGTTGAGTTTTGTTGTGGATATGCTGGAGTAATTATTGGCATCAAATGATATCTATCGGACATATTAACCTGTAAAATTTTGAAATATTATTAATAAATTAATATATTTAAAAAAATCCTACAATTTTTTTCTCGAACAATATTTATATTAAAGTATGGTAAATAATTACTCTTGGATCCCATACTGGAAAGCCTAAGTTACAATTCTCAGGTTGTTTTAAAAGAACGGGCTGTGGCCATTTCCATTGAGAAAATACAAGGAAAAATTTTTCAATCAATGTTGCAGCTACAGCATTAGGGTAGAGTTGACATGTTCGAGCTACGAGCATTGCCCATGACACACCACCGAGATATCCTAAAACGTTACTATAAATGCCGTGTCCTGAAAAATATAAATATAAGATAAAACCATTTAGTTTATAAATGTTTCTATAATAAACTTTAAACAAATAAATATTGTTTATACTCACGTTTAGCCCATAATTTAATAGCTCTAAGAGCCAATCTGAAGTTTTCTATGTTAGGTACTAAACGCAAAATTTCATCTGTTACTCTGCATCCGTTTAAACTTCTTACACATTTCTGATCAAGATTTTTCAATAAAGAATCATCTTTGAGATCCTGTAAATATAAATTAATATTTTAAATTACAAAATTACAATTTATATTATACAATATATAAATAAATTACGCTTACCATATTATCTGGGACTTCTTTACACAATAATTTTGCGAACAACATATCAATCTCAATACCATCAAATTTCATTTTGATAACTGGTACAAATGCTTCTTCTACTGCCTATAAAAACAAAACAAAACATAGTTAATTATATAAGCATATTTAAAAAACATCTTGGTAAACATGAAGTGTAACAGTTTCATGTTATAAAGTAAACAAACAACAGTGTAAACATGAATCATAACAGTTATTTAGAAACAAACAAATCGCAGACTTGATAATATTCATTCATACAGTACTTACTATTCTGTATTTAGATGAAAAGATAATATTGACATGAATGCAATATTATATAGTAATCAGATTATTCATTTATACATACCCTTAGATCAGTGACCTCTTCTTGCATTCTTAATAAATCAAAAAATGAAGAAAAATAATCGGATCTATATATGTGTTTCGGGGCAACACATAAGGCATCGATATCAGCACCTTTGTGATGAACACCTAATCTATATGAACCAAAAGTATATATTTTTCCACCAACGTTATCCGCAACATTAGGTGGCATATTTCTAGCATAGCTAATATCTCTAATCCATTGTTTCACCAAAGTATTTAATTTGCTGTGAAATTAAAAATGTAGTAACATATTAATATCTAGATAATATTTGTTATAGATTAAAATATATTTGAGATCTCAAATAATAAATCTTTCTCGTATATCTATATTAATAGATAATATCATGTTATCTTTCAATTAATAATTAAAATAAAATCTTACCTCAATATTTCCATTCTATGATTAAGTTCTTCTTCTGATTCAAATACGTTATACGGTTTTAAAGCTTCCTTTAATTCATTAGTTCTAATATAGTCGGTAGGTTTTGGTTCGGCCATACTAATTGCCGATGTCATACCTAATGTACTAGTTTTATCTTTCCTTTCATTCGATGTCGAATTAGAATTAGAATTAGAATTAGAGTTGGAATTAGAATTGGAATTCGAATTAGAGTTAACCGATTGGGATCCCCACATATTTGAGATTTCTTCTTTTCGAAATCGTTTTGCTTCTTCTTTATCTCTCTCTTGTTCTTCCTGCAAATCAAAATAATTCATTTTTAATAATCTTAATAATTGTTTACTATCTTTCACAATAACAACAACAACAACAACAACAACAAATATAAAAAGAAAGAAAGAAAGAGACAGAGAGACAAGTATACAATGTGACAAAAAAAGAAAGCGAATCCTTTTTATCAAATACAATTTAAAAAAAAAAACACATAAACAAAATAAACATTTATATTACAAACACATTAATAATAGTAAAAAGAGAATCGTACTAGCATTTTTTTAATGATGAAAATTTTCAGAGGGCAAAAGAAAAATGGCAATATCCCAAATGAATGTATCCAATTTGACGGAGATGAAATGATAGTAAATTAATTGAAGATAAAAAAGAATCAGGGAGAATTTCTTCTGATTCTTACCGTTTACTGTTCTGTCAAAGATCCAGAAACATGTTGGATAAGATTACAAAGCGAACGTTTAGATCGCGTAATCAGGTTATAAAAACCCGAAATGTCTGCATTAAGAAAGCATAGGATGGTCTTTATAAAAGATTTCAAACAATTCCTTAAACGGAATTGATATTGTTAACGTAAGACGCACGTTATGAATGATTGGCTCAATCGTAAAACAACAATGCGATAAGTTTGTAAACAAATTGTGAGCAAAGGAAGAATAATTCATAAATAATTATATCCGCAGTTCGTAGATCAGTTCGCGTCGGAGCTGCATTCGAATTGACGAATGAAAGAAAATATTAGAAAATTAAGTGAAAATAATCGAGCACTGTTTATTGAAAACCACCCATTAATACACCCCGGATGTCTTCTACTATCTTTAATGGTGTAAATAAATAAAGTAACGGTTTTCGTTTACTTTCTTTCTTTCTCTCGCGTTTTTTTTTTTTTTCCTCTCTGTCGAAAATAATGAATAACACGTATTCTCGCACTATACCACCTACACCATAAACATGGCGTCCTCTGACGGCTTGCTATGGGCATGAAATGTTTTTATACTAGATGGGGAATTTACTAGCGTCATTTCTCGATTGTAGTGCCATCTTTATTGAACTATTTCATTCTAGTATCGATAATTATATCGATTATCGAACTGATATCGATAATATTGCGGAATAAATCGATAAAAGTTCGAAAAGTTTTAGTGATGCAAGAAAAAGATAATTACAAATATTGTCTTTCTGGAGAAAAAAAAAGAATAATTTCGAAAGGTAATAATTTTTTTACATTTATTTTATACTTATCTATTATTTGGTTACATGTATATATATTTATCTTTTCATTTTAATTATCTATTATGTACAAGAATATCTTCCTTACAATTTTAAAGTATATACATACTAAATTTTGAATTAAAAAAAAAGAAACTTTTATATTGGAAAATATAAAATTTAAAGGTTTTATTTTAATGAAAACTCTTCTACGTTAGGTTAAAAACTTTATGTAAGAAAAATTTGTTTGCTTACTAAAAGTGAATATCATATTTGTAATCAAAAATAAATAATACTATGAAGTATTAGATATTAAAAAATTGGTTAAACATTAAATATCTACCTTTTATGTAGAATACATATTATAAAAGTTACGTAGAATATACTTAATTGTGTCTTAATGTGAAAAAAATGATGTATTTTTTTCTAAATCTTTATCTCATCTCATTTAATTCTCGTTACCATAGGATATTTCATTTCTCCCATTAGTTATCTATCTATTTTCTTTTTTTCTTCGTTAAAAGAATTTTTACATTATTTCAAAGATTATAATAGGGTCATTAAATTTCAAATATTTATTTATGCAATTCCAAAGTAATCTGATTTTTTGTTTATCTTAAACATGTAATACTTAAACAAATAAGAAAATTTAGTTTCTTGATGCGTAGTCCATGATCAAATTCCAAGGGTTAAAAACAAAAAAAGACAAACATAGAATAAGGGAACTTAGGCTAAGGTTTTAAGGCTATATTTCAAATCTTTTTGAGAATTTTTTCTTCTTTAAATGATCTTAAAATAATTCACGAATTTTATTGTTATTTTTAGACGAACAATTTTGATAAAGAAAAAACTTATTTTATATAATAAATATATATATTTCGAAAGTGTGTTAATAACAAAATGGCGTCTCCTTTATTTCGCACGTTCGTCTTCATTAGAAAGTGCAATTTTTAATCTCGTTATTTTGCTTTTTCCTTTTTTTTTTTTTTGTTTCTTTTCTATATAAGAGAATTTCATATGCACAAATCTGGTTTTACGTCTAGTTAAAATGATTTCTCGCTTTTAAAATGATTCTCATAGGAAATGCATTTTAATTATCCGAAGGGGTGAAATAAAAATGGCCACTTTTTTCCCTCCCTCCCCCCTTGTTTCACACGTTCGTCTTCATTACGATGGTATTTTAATCTCGTTAATTTTTTTTTTTTTCTTTCGTATTTTTTATTTATTCCTTTTTTTTCCTTTTTTCTTTTTTTTTTTCTCTTTTAAGGATTTTACACGTACATGTATATATATATATATGTATATTCGCGTATGATTCGGTTTCGCTTTGGGTTCGGTTGAAAAGATCCCTTTACAAATAAAATCAAATACGTTTGAATTCGATACGAGACGTGTAGCATGTTATATAAACGTTTTGCGTTGACATTTTTCGGATAAAACGTTGATTCGTTTAATAAGGATTGTTAGATGACGCGTTAAATCAAAAAATTCACAAATATTATATTTTATATGTATATTAAAATATTGTGTATTCACTGATTAGCCAGTTTTACCATGGAAACAGTCATACTACCTGTCAGGTGAATCCCTAAGATAAAATAGTGAAATAATATTAGATGGTAGAATAGAAAAATACTTTGTGATCACGATGGTTAGAAAAGTGAAATATAGAAAAAGGAAAAATACTCATAGTAAAAAATTAATTTTCGTAAATCGAAGAAAACAATTTGTATATAAAACGATAAAAAGATAACTGAATAAGAATAACATTTAGAAAAATTGTTGCAAGAATATTGAAAAACTTTCCCTAAGAATTATTTATCTTAATATTAACGTGACTCATTATACTTAATGATAAAATGAATAATAGCTTTGAGGGGGGGGGAAACCTATTAATCGATAGATCAATAATAAAATTTTTAATGACCTTTTTTTTACCTTTACCAACAATTAACTTTATCTTCCTATAGGAGTTTACCAAATGCAGTATTACATTATTCATGTTTAATGGGTAAAGCATACAAAGGTTGGAGTAAGTTAGTAGTTTGTATTCTTTTATCTAAAATAAATTTTGAAAGTCTACCTAATATTAATTAATATACAATGATTAGTATACTGAATCGAAATTATCGATTGTTTTGTTAATTCGTAAACATATTTCGTGTATAAGTATAATATATT